TTACCTTTATAAAAACCTCAAGCTGGAAATATACTTAATACTCCTTCCTCCTCCTATTTTTCACACAAGCACCACCCTGTGAGGTGAGTTGGGCTGAGAGAGAGTGACTGGCCCAGTTACCCATCCGTCTTTCATGCCTAAAGCGGGATTAGAACTCACTGTCTCCTGCTTTCTAGCTCAGAGCCTTAACCACTAGACCAAACTGGCTTTCCAGTTTAGTTACTTTAATTACGCCAGGTATAAGCTGAGCTGGAGAATCGCCCCGGTAGGTTTTCAAGACTCTGTTACATTACCCTACAAGCAATGAAGACCTTCCCAGAAATCCAAGGAGTCACGCTTCCTGACTTTACCCGCTTCACAGGACATCACAACAGGTGCCTCAGACACTCCCCCCCCCCCCCCTTTTCTTTCTTTTCCCCTCAATAGTGAAAAGCAGGAGATGGGAGCGCTTTGTGCCTATACCATTTTTACCCCAGAATTCTGGAACTGCAAATCTAAATCTCCATGAATACTGGTGTCATGTCTGTATAATATTATGAAGTATGTATGTCTCTGTTTTTAAAAACTATGATGTAAGCTATTATTTGCAATAAAACCTTTAATAAAGACATTCTACTTTACTTTACTTTACTTTACTTTACTTTACTTTACTTTACTTTACTTTACTTTACTTTACTTTACTTTACTTTACTATCTTACTAAAGCCTAGGTTTGGCTAACTTGTGACAGACTGACATTTTGAGATTTTTCAGCCAAAAATGGGTTGCCTCAGTTCTCAACTGCTGCTGGGACTTCATTTTTTCCCAGTCTTTGGCTGGGAGGGGACAAAGTTTGCTACTGTTGGCTCTTCAGGAGGAGCTGGCATGGCTTCCAGGCTCTGCTGCTCGGCTCCACTTTTCCTACCTACAGTCACCCACTACGTTCTGTCCCCTGACCCCAATCGTTTCACCAAGTTGATTTTGTCTGGGGTTTCTGACTTGCCTCTTCTCTTGCCTGCAGCCTTCATTTTTCCTGCTCTCCAACACACAAATGCAACTTCTTCTCTTCACACACATACACCCACCAGAAGGGCTGGAAATGCTGGAACGCTGGTGTGCTCCAGCTATTCCAGCTACTGGAAATCTCCCTATCTAGGCTACCTGGAGCTCTGGAATGAGGGGCAGGATTTAAATATAACAAACACACATGTAACTGTAATCTATGAGAATTGAACCCATTATTCAGTTTAAAGAATTCAGAGAGAAGCACCTTCACATCAAGGAAAGAAAGATAAAGCAAGAGTTCAGAGAATGGCATGGGAAACGGGGAAGGCTTAGAAAAGAGATTCAGTCGACAGAATGTTCAGCTATAGAAGGAGAAGGCAGAAAGAAAAACAGAAACTGTTGCTGCAACAATGAAAGCGAGAAACATTGAGGCTTCTCGCACAGAGGGAAGGAAAGAAGGGAAGAAACGCACAAAATACAGAATTCCCACAGACACATGCCCATGGGCTAAGAGGTAGCACTTTTTGCACTGGCCTTGTTTTGTCTGAAAATGAAGGAGAAAACAGAGAAAATTGTTAGGATTTTCTCATGGGAAGGATTCATCTTGTTATCTGCAAAACAGTTTTGTTATGGCTAAGTAAACCCTGTGACTTAGTTTAGTCTTTTTAGTTTGCACGTATACTGCTATTTACTGCCACCTATTGGCGTGTGTATGCTAGTTACCCAGTGCGGGGGTACATACTGGCAATATAATGGGAGGATTATATGTCCAGCCTCTCAGTAGAGTTTTAGCCACCATGTAG